GCTGCCAAGCCCAATGTACTGAGTCCAACCCCAGGACCCATGTGATAGAATAGCCTTCTCCTCTAAGTTGTCCTCTGACATCTACATGTACATTTTAGTGTCCCCCACACACACATAAACACACTTTAAAAGATTTTACAGTGGCCTTCAAAAGTCTGCAGTAAGTTGCCTGTCTCCTGATTTTAATAGTCTGTAGGCATCTCCTTAACCCACTGTGCTCCAGCTTTTCTCATGAGTTCTTAGCTGCTAGCCCTGAAAGGGCAATGTTCCCTCTGTTGGGAACCCCCTTCCCCTGTTGGGAACAGTTCCACATTTAACTCACAACTTTCTGCTGTGCTCCCTCCTCCGTGGTACCCAGGTAATCTCCAGGGTACCTGCTCATTTTATTTGCTCTCTCAGCATGTACACCATCGAACACAGAGTAGACCCTATCCATCAACTCTACTGTTGTTCTCTTGACTCCAAAACACACATTCTCATCGCAGCTCTTGTATTTCGCTGTCATTCGCCTGTTTTCCTAGTATGTACAACAGTACCTGGCCCAAGCAGAAGGCAGAGAGGGGCACAGTGGGCACAGAGAGGGAATTAGGGCTGGAAAAATGCTCTCTGTCCCTCTGACTCTCAGCCTCCATTTTATTGACCCTTTCCCACCTCAGCATTGCGACTTCTGCATGCACCTTTCTGCAGGGCCTTTGGCTCTAACATTCCTTTACTTCTCAGTGGAGTCTCGAAGTATTCCCTTACACAAGTTCACCCCAACGAAGACTTTCAATGATTACCTAGACATCCATATATGCTTCTCTTCCTCAGACTTTCCCCTAGCTTAACATCCTCATGATTAGCTGGCTACTACACAAAACCTTACCACCTAGTTTCTCTCATCCATCTCTTCGTCTCCGCGCTTGCTCACACTGCCCTACCTTCACACTCCAATCTCTTCCCTAGATAACTATTCTGTTAGGAGAGGTGTGTGGTGGTGAAGAGAAAGGCTTTATATGTGAGAGACCTGAGGTTCAGAACCCACCTCCTATCAGCAACCAGTAAGCCAATAATTAATTCCTAGTCAGCTAACCGAGACAGGGCAAGTTATTTAATGTTGACAAACCACAGGTTTCTCACCTGTAACCTGGGATGGTTATTAACAGCCAAAGTGGTGTCCTACTTGGGGCAAGTATTCAAGTATGCCTCAAAATCTAAGATCTCAGGGGCCGGAGAACTGGCCTGGTGGCTAAGAGCACTTGTTGCTCCTACAGAGGACCTAGGTTTTGTTTCCAGCATCCACATGGTGGCCCACATTCATCCGTAACTCTAGTTCCAAGAGGCAGAATCCCTTCTTCTAAACTCTGTGGGCAATAGGCATGCAAAACACTCATACACATGAAAATCTTTAAAGCCAAAACTGAGGGTAGAAAGATGGGTCACTAGTTAAAAGTATTTGTTGCTTCAGCACACAAACAGCATCTCAGTAACTGCAGTTTCAGGGAATCTTGTCCTCTTCTGGTCTCCTTGGGCACCAAGCACACACATGGTGCACAAACATATGTGCAGGCAAAATATCTACACATAAAATGAATGAATCTAACAAAAAAAAATAGTAACAATAATTAAAAAAAACCAAACCTTAAGGTCTCAAGGCTGGGGGGATAGTTCAGTGAGTCAGAGTACTTACTCTGCAAATACAAGGACCTAAATTTGAATCCTCAGCATCCATGTAGAAAACCAGCCATAGTCATGTGTGCCTCTGGCCCCAACACTGGGAGATCTAAAGAGTTCAGCCAGCCTATCTGAAAGGCTGAACATCTGGTTCAGTAAAAGACTCTGTTTCAAGGCAAATGTGATATAAAAATAGGATGACACAGCTAACAACTGAATGTTGGAGCTAGAGGGTTATTTAACTTGATAGCAGAGGACACGCAAATGATAACTCTAAACAATACAAAAACAAAAATACAAAATGATTACTTATGGTAAATCTAAGAAGGGAAACCCTTTTAGTTAGTTTTCTAAATGAATACCAATTTAACAATTTTATTACAACTGTTTATGCTAGGAAGAACATACCTTGCCTTTGGAGTTAGACATTAGTTTAAATTCTAACTGCTATACAGGGATAACCTGACCGGTCATTCAAACTTACTAATTTTTTCCTTGTCTATAAATGGAGATTCTAAAACCACTGGCAGGATCCATTTTAAAATCAATGATGGCCCTAGTTCCATGTCTATTGCTGTGATAACACACTCTGACATAAAGCAAGGGTTTATTTGGCTTAAAATCACAACCAACATTGTGGGGAAGTCACAGCAAGAACGTGAGAACGCTGGTCACATCTACAGTCAAGAACAGAGACAGAATGCATGCACAAATGTCGTCCCCTTGCTTCCTCGACTTTTATACATTCAGGATCCAGACCACAAAATGCTGCTGCCCACATTCGATGGACCTGCCCACCCCAAGCTAATTAAGACACAAAGAAAAAAATCACTCACAAGCCAATGTCCTTCACTGGAACCTCCTTCCCAAGTGATTCTACCTTGTGTCAAGTTGATAATTAAACGTAAGCATCATGGTGATGAGAGCTAATGAACTAACATATATGTGAAACGTGAACATTGGGAAATTATGACAATATTACATAACTGTGCCCACTGGTATAATTGCCTAACAGAAGGTAATCATTACTTTTCAAAAATAGCTGTTAAACAACATTAAAAAAATCACTGTACAGTCATACATGATCATAGTCAATTAAAAATGTTTATTACTTTTACTTGAGGGGTGGGGTGGGCATGCACAGGCCAAGAAACCTGTGTGGAGGTGAGAGAGACTCTTTCAGAAGTTAGTTCTGTTCTTCCACCGTGTGGGTTCTGGAGAACCAGTTCAGGCTGTCAGGCTTGGCATCTGGTCCCTTTATCCACACAGCCATCTTGACAGCCCTACAAACAATTTCGATCATACCAACTAAACTATACTGAGTTTAAAACAATTTTTGCAGCAATTTAAATATGTCTAGATGAAGAGTATGCATAATAAAAACAAAAGCTTGGCTATGTTCAAAGCAATTTTGAAAGACTATGCTCTTTTCCCAAACCATAATTTAAGGAAACGGTAGAGTCTCTATAACAATTATCAGACTATATTGTGAGGTTCATGTTGCTCTTGCTGTGGGATGCCCAGTATCAGTCAAGGGTGTACATGCTAGTTCCCAGAAAACCTCTGTTTCACTACAGTCTACATACACCCACTTAAGACTATTCTAGAAAAATGCCTTCTTGCCACAACAGTGACACAAAATAACAAAGGAGCTCCCTTAAGAAGCAACTTCAGTTGGAAACCAACTGGAAATCTCTTAACCTTTAAAAAGATGTAAAGAAGTCACATCTAAAACACGAGCAAAAAGCAGCCTGGGCCCACCAAGAAAAGTAAGGTTTAATCAAGAACAACCTTCAAGATCATACAGCTATACACTCCACAGGCCAGATCCTTTCCTCATAAATTGACAGAGGTGATTTTTTTAACTAATGAAGGGCGTCATCAAGATTTTCCCACCAGTGCTCACTCTCATCATTCACTTAGGAATAGGGTGTGTTTAATTCACTAGATTCCATTTGCTTTCACTGATATCTCTCTCTCTCTCTCTCTCTCTCTCTCTCTCTCTCTCTCTCTGTGTGTGTGTGTGTGTGTGTGTGTGTGACAGAGAGACAGAGAGAGAGAGAGAGAGAGAGAGATTGAGATTGATTCTCAGCAGTAAGCAAGCAATGAGGTTCAGAGTAGAAGGCAGTTTCTGAGCCGACAGCTGTTAAGGCCCTGTGACGGGGACAAGAAGGGCTCCCATGCCCACTCTCACTCTCTTTCCTGCCTTAGCACCTTCTGCTGGATATCGAATCATCTTCCCATTTTCAAATTTTAAGTGTCAGCAACTTAAACTTCCCCTCTCTTTAAAGGAAAAAAAAATCTTCCAGGCAGTAGTAGTGCATACCTTTAGTCCCAGCACCTGGAGTCAGAGGGAGATAGATCTCTGTAAACTCAAGGCCCAGCCTAGTGTACAGTGCAAGTTCCAGGACAGCCGGGGCTACACAGAGAAACCCTATCTGGAAAAAAACCAAAATTTTGGAAAAGAAGCACCTCCACATTTACTACAAATAGTGTAGGCAAACTCCAAAATAAATCCTAACAAAAATTCATGTTATCCAAAACACAGGAGTTGTGAAGCATTTTAAAGAACAATGAAGAAAAAAAATTAGTTTGTTCCCAAACGACTTGTAACTTTAAGACCTTTAGAACAGGCAGTAAGTGACAGTCAAGGCCCTGGCAAAGCCCAGAAAGTTGCTTTTTTTCCCATCTTAAAAGGTTATTCAAACCCTTTGATCTCCATTTCTGTTTTGGCCCCTTCTGAGGCTGAAGTCTGGCCATTCTCTGAATTCTTTTCACACAGAAAAATTAAGCACAGACTTGACAAGCAAGCTCAGTTATAGGAAAGTTCCAAAGACCTTTTACAATATGACACAGCCTTTCTTTCCCCATCTGCATAACTGCTGTCAAGTTGGCTCCTTACACTTAGGACAATGCCTAAAGTTGGAAGCACAAAAGTATCAACTCTAAGTGGCTGGAGAACTAGAAAAGTGAGTGGCCTCCGATGCGCTAACATTTACACCGCGAAAAGAGCGGGCGGGGCACTTAAACCAGAGCAAGACTGGTTCATGAACAACAGCACAGCACTGATGGAAACTGGACTCACCCGACTTGGGGCGAGTCAGGCGGCGATCGGCCGAAAGCCCCCAAACTAAAAAGCAGCCCCAGTCTTGTTCAAAAGAGCAAAGCTCGCTGGGCGGCTGCCGTTTGCCGACTCCCCAAGCACCTCCTGCCAAGGCGCCTGCGCCGTCCACACGGCCTCCGCACCCCCAAACTGCCGGCCCGCAACGGAGGCCCCGCACCCCCAAACTGCCCGTCTGCCTCTGCGGGATGGACCCCGGCAGCTGCGAGGATCTCCCGCCAACTACCTTGGTTGTCCGGATGTGCTCCATCCCGGGGCGACGCCCGCAGGCAGCTGGCCTCAGGAGAGCACCATAGGGAGAGAAACGGGGCGGTGACAGCCACCCGCAGGAACTCCCTCAATCCGGCAGCGTCAGCCACCCCGCCGCCGGCGGCCAGTGCGCAGGCGTCGTCTGACAGCACTGTCGCCTAGAAACACTTCCGCAAATCCCAGCCACAGAGGGGATCCTGACAACAGGCAGAGCGTCGCCCATCGAGATCGTGAGCTATCTGGGTCGCACGCATGGCCTATCTACAGACAGGGCTGTAGCGCCCTCTCTGATGGAGGACTGGTATTGCCCCGGCCGACCAAGCTGACCTATGTATTCAGCTTGACAAGGACCAGCTTGTCAAGGCACTAGAAGACTTTTCTAGGTTTAAAGATATATCCTGACCAAAAGGAATTTTCTAGTGAGTGCGAGACTGGATGCCTCTAAATTCCATTACCATGCCAGGTTAAATTACATTTAGAAACTCATGGAGCACTGGGCTCCAGTAATAAACTATTAAAATCTATTATGATTATCAGTATTAAGTCTGAGTACATTTTATATGGTCTTTGTTGCCAAGTGGCAGGATATAATTTTTACAGGTTTGTAGATAAGGCTGAACTTTAATTTGAGATGCTACATGAATGTCTTTTTTATTTGAAAGATATTGCTCAGGGTTGGAAAGATGGCTTATCTGTTAAATTCTTATTGGAAACTTTTCTGACCTTTGTTTTTTGTAAATAAACAAAAATGGCTGGGGATGGGCAGTCTGCCTCCCTAACTGATAGCTGGTGTGCTCTCTCCCTTGCTTCTCTGGCTGCCTCCTGCAAATGCCTTTTCAATTATATCAAAACTTTTTAAACTGTGCATGGCAACCCTGGGGGCCAAAATCTGACCAAAACTTAATTAAAAGCACAGCCTATCTCTGACATTGTTAGGGAATAAGCTTTGGTTCTCAACACTCTACAAATGTACTTTGCTCTATTCATGCCAGTAACTGCCTCAGCTCAGATTTCATCTACTATATGTTATGAATTGTGGTGTCTTTACATTTTGTACAAAAATTTCTACTCTTATAGAAACAGCAGTTTGATTACAGAAAGCAAAACTTTTCATATTTTTCTGTTACCATTCCTTAGCATATATCAAATTAGTGTATCTTTGATTGAGCTGTATTGGAAAAACATATCCATCTCTGCTTTACTCATTAGTAAGTAGTAAAGATGTATGTGTAAAAAAAAAGTTTGTAAAAACAAATTTACTTTGTATGCTGGGGCACACCTTTAATCCCAGCACTCCAGAGGCAGAAGCAACTTGTTGTCTGTAAGTTTCAGAGCATGTTGATCCACATAGTGAGACTGTAACAAAAATAAACAAGCAAAATATTATCAGCAAATGTTTGATTTGTACACCTATTGTATGTACCTATATAACCAAGGACAAATAGAATATTTTCTGCCAAAAAGGGTTCATGATTGAAAAATGTTTAAAAGATTTCAGAACAGGCCACCCTTAAGTCTGATCAATCAACTTTGTTTGGTTTTGGTTAATGTTCATTTACTCTGTAAGCAAGTAATAATAATCTTTTAGTAATTTGAGATATTTTTACAAAAACATACTTTTAAAAGGAGAAATTTAATTACTGTTTGTCAGAAATGCAATAATTCTCAGTAAGAATCTGGCCAAATAATGAAACCTGATTAGGAAGTGGGAGCCAAATTATCATGAGCTATCTTTAGCCCCCAAATTAGTCACCAATTTATTGTCCGCTTTTGTGTGTGACCTAACAACCTTTATGACTGTTGTGTTTATCCTTTTAGAATGTACAAACAAGATCTCTTAACTTCCACCAAAGGCTAATACTGTCATCAGAGAGCAACTGAGACCAAAGCAGAGACTGGTCTGCCTTGCTATAATCTGCCTTCCTGATATTTCCTTTGATGTAACTGCAAAATGGCTTGAGTTATTCTTTATTCTATTAGTATCAAAATCTCATAAAATTCCTAACATGTTATATAACATGGTATTTGGGGTAACATGGGTATGTGTCTCTTGAACATGGTCACTCAAATCTGGCTCCAGAATTAACTTGTTAAGGCCTAGAAAAAATGTTAAGGTCTGCATAACTGCTATCTGTCTAGCCTGCCATTTTCTACAGTTACTAATGTTATAAGAAAACTTTCTCTTATGTTGTTACTAGGATGTTCTTTGTCCTTTAGTGTTCTTGGAAAACAATCACAAGAAGTCAGTTAGAACAGCTTTCTATAGTTAGCCTTAATAAGCATGGACTTAAACCAACCACCCAGCAGCACTTCCTGCACCTATGTATGAGCTTTTATGGTATTTGCCTTTATAAGCTGCCCCTGGTATGGACCCCACCATAAGAGAGACACCTGCACCTATTTGGAATAAGACTTCCATTTTGAATAGGGGTCAAATAAAGTTTAAGTCTCCAAGACCTCCCTAGGAACTGATAAACATGCACGTGGGTCACCAACATCCTGGTAGGAAGTTAAGACATGAATGCTAGGCAAGACAAGTTTCCCGCACAGTTGAATACCCTAACCAATGGGATCAGGATAAACATACAACAAAGAACAAAGGCATGTTCCTAGGGAAATCCTGTTCCTAAATCCTGATCAGTGGAATAACTTGGCACAAATTGATTTGGCATTGCAGCCAGCTTCCGGGTCTGACCTGTGGCCATGATTGATCAGTCCTAGGGCATATGTTCAATAAACTGTCCATGTCTGACTGAGATCAGTGTTCATGTGGTTTATGAAGTGACTCTTGGATCCCAACAAACTCTTATTCTCTTTGAGAGCTGTTCTTATGTTGGCAAAATGTAACTCTTTAAATTATGTCACTGTGTGCAATTCAACCAAATGTAGGATAGTGCTAGGTCCCTTCCCTTTGTGTTTGAAGATGGAGTAATGTACTCCTAATTCTGCCATTAAAATATGCTCTAAGCCTTGGTTTATATCCATGTATACCATGTTTCCAGGGCCTGCCCATTGACTTATATTCATCATATATAAACAACTATGACAAAAAAGTAAATTTCTCCTTTAAAAAGGTTATTCTTCCCACTTTAACTTCAAGTTAAATTTCTATTATTTATTAGTAATATTCAGACAAATGTTTTATGATTAATTTTGTTTTTATGTAGATATGTTTGTCTATGCTGTTGCAGGATATTTGATTACATTGTGACCCCTGAGATCTGAACTGAAAAAACACCTGTTTCTTGTTGTGGTGTGGCTTGGCTCTAGCACACACCTTTAACCCAAGAGCTCTCTGTAAACAAGAGCTAAATAAAGTCAACCCTAGGTCAAGAGGTGGAGCAAGCAACCAGTTAACAGGGAGTGAGCATAAGAAACCCAGGAAAGAGAAAGGAGAACCTTTGAGTTGTGTATTTAAGACAGTGTGGAGAAGGAGAAGGAGCTTTCTCCTTCTGGGACTTTCATGGAGTAGGAAAGCCAGCTGGGTGTGTTCTCTGCCTCTCTGAGCTAGCAGGCTTTCACCACAGTGTTGGTTCCTGGGTCTTCATCTATATCAAAGATTTGGGATATTTTATAAAAATCAACAACAAGATATGAAGGTGCCAGAGGAGATCAGAAGAGGGTGTTGGGTCCCCTGAAACTGGAGTTACAGGAGGCTTTGAGCCTCCTGACCTGTACTGGAAACTGATCCTCTGGAAGAACAGCATGTGCTCTTAGCTGACAATGCATCTCTCCAGTCCTGACAAATGTCTTTCAAATAAAAAGTCATCACACAGCATCTTAAGTCAAAGTGCTCCTTTATCTACAAACCTGTAAATGTTATCTCCTCACATAAGATGTACTCACAGCCTGATGCCACTATGAAAAGAAAAGGTTGCTGTAGGAAGTTGTCCTCTGAGCACAATAGCTATTACCACTGTAATGAGAGCAGTTGTGATACCTGCAAGGGACCCTTGTGTAGAAACAAGAGATATGGAGTGTGAGCACCCTGAGCTGAGATTCCAGTCACTGTCTTGTGTGCCTTGTTTCAGCTGCATGTGATTCTGCTCCTCTACTCATGGTCTTAGTGGTGACAGAGTATAAAGTGTGGGAGCCTAACAGAAAAGGGGGTTCCATCGTACAGCTATCATCTGTACTGAGATATAGCTTTTTGGAGTCACCCACATTTCACATATGTAGCTCAATCTCCAATCACACTCCTATAAGTTCAAAAAACTCCTTGTCTCCCCGCACTAGCCTTGGGTGGAACTGTAACTTTGGTCTGTCATTGTGTCTTATCTGAGGTGAGATGATATCACTCATATCTCCCTGGGGAAAGTTTGCAGTTTTATATGCATATGCAGATTTTTTAAATCTGTTTTAAAAGTCACTAGTGCATCCTTGGGCACATGTCTGAATGCTGAATTCAACATTATCTGTTTTTTCCCTTTTCTTTCTCTTCAAGTCAGCATTGTCTGATTTTTCTTTTAAGTGCATTGCTGCACAGACATGTAAAGTGCTGGAAGCAAGTGCTATGGAGCAGGATCCTCTGAGCTCAAGACCCATCATCTTCATCAAAGCAGCAATTTCATCTACCAAGGAGTAAGGGGGGCCTACTTCTAGGCACATCCCATAACTGTAGCAACTGTACAGCTTAGGATGCCAGTAACCTGAAGCCTGCACGAGAGCAGTAACACTAATGGCCCTGCCTGCTGTGGCTCTCACCGGGTTGCCCTTGGTTATCAGACACTGAGTGCTCCACAGGCTGTCAAAGACTAGCTTCTCCCTGCTCACTCCAGGATTTCTACACATGGAGAATAAAAGGACCCAGCCAATCTCTTAGAAACACTTGCATTTCAGTTTAAGAAGTGATTCTACTAACACTTGGATTTATTCCAAAGAAATAAGACAGTGTAGTTTTATTTGGAATAAGTCTCTGTCTCCTTGGGATTTCCTGATTGAGGTGTATTCATTCCATGTTAATGTAGGCATTCATTAAAACTAGCTCTGTGGAGGCTGGAAAGGTGGTGACTTATCAGTTAAAAGCACTTGCTGCACAAAAGCACAAGAAGCAGAATTCAGATTCCAGCATCTACATCAAAGCCAGATGT